ATGTGAGCTTCACGCTCTGTGGAGGGCTGATGGGATAAGGAACTGAGGGAGGTCTTCAGTCCACAGCCAGGAGGCACTGACGTCTCAGTCCCAATGCCCCCAAAGCACTGGATCCTTGGCTACAACTACACGAGGGAGCTAGAATGGGACGCTTGCTACTTGAGACTTGTTGGCTGCAGCCTTAGGAGAGACCCAGGGCCAGGGGACTCAGTTAAGCTGGACCAGGACTCCCGATCCAGAGCAACTGTAAGATAATAAACGCTATTATATGCCACTAACATTCGGGGTGATTTGTGATGCAGTAAAAGAAAATCCTATTTTTCTGTTGGAAGAAAGGAAATTGTTTTAAAAATCAGTCTCAAACTCAAGAGAGGAAAGGGAATAATTTAATCAAATCAAAGTGAAAAAAGAACAGATTAAAAATATATAACTCCAAAAAATACTGATTGAATGCAACTGAACTTAGAAGGCAAGGGCAACTAAAATGTGGGATTTCATTCCGTAACATAATAGAAGTGGAGCAGCAATGAACAAAACAGTGGGTATCAGAAAGTGCAGTTTGACAAAGAGACGTGTGATAACAGCACTCTCCAGTCATCAAATATTTTTGTGTCTGAATTTTGAGGAGCTCCCAGGTTTAATTGAGGAAGCAGTTAAAGAGAGAGAGTAGTGCAGACAATAACTAGGTACTGTGCGAGGTAAAAGCATACAGTGTTGATGGTTGCTAATATTATCAGTCTACTGAAGTCGCAGTGAGGGGACAGCTGAGGGGGGCTCATGGGATCTCCATTCCGCTTGTTACTAAGACGTTAGCACCAGCCTTGTGGGCTGGTAGCAAAAGAGCAAGTTGGACTCACCCAGATTGAAGGATGAATGGGAACAAAGGAAAAGGGAACAGAAAGTACAGATCACTAATAAACAATTCCAGGAGCTAAGATAGCAAAGCATTAGAATAGGAAATACCGAAAGAGTGTATAATATAAAAGGATGCTAAAATACATTTTCAATTTAGGATGACCGATATTAAGAAGAAAAATAAATGTTTCAATTGAAAATCATTTGACTACCTGAACTTCAGGTGGTATATTCTTCTTCTTTTTGAGGTAGGGGTGGGGTATCAGGAATCGAACTCAGGACCTCACGCTTGCCAGGCAGGCACTGCACAACTGAGTCAGATCCCTGGCCCCTCAGGAGGTATCTTGTCAAGGAACAAAAGTGATTACACCCCTTTAAAAACAAAAGCATATTAGAAGATTATCCCAAGATTTTCCAACCATAGAGTTCTTCCCTGGGAAAGGTAAACCACGCATTGCAAGTAAGCAAACAGATCATTTCCCTGTGTCTAAGGGACAGAAACTGCACAACTTGCTTATAGTTGCAGGAGTGGACAATCTGTTTTCTCATGGAACTTTAGGCATGTTTCCTCTCTTCAAAGCGGGGAAGGGGGACATTTAGCCTTGCAGAAGTCCAAGGAAACTTTAAAACCTGAGAAAAGACTGACTTGGGATTGGTGAAGGAAGTGGATGCTGTGTGAACATGGATAGGATTTACCTTGGAAGTCAAGCAGAGCCAAATATAGAGGGAAAGCATGCATTAAAGCAAAGAAATCCCTATGACTACTATTCTACAGAGGTCTGTGCTTGGAGTACATCTAATGTATCATGCGCACTGAACATATCAAATGTACTTGGGAATATGCAGATCTTTGCACTGGGGGTAATTTCAATATTAAAAGGACATAGTATAGAAAAACCATTACCAAAGGAAGAAATTTTTTTCTTTGAAACTTGAGACAACAAATACAAACAAAATATGCTTTGAAGAGTGCTAAGAGATCAAAATTGTTCTCAGAAAACTACACTTGCTCTGTTTTGGAACAATCTCACCAATTCCAGAACAAAATATGCTCATTAAGGCATCTCAGGTAGTAATTACAGCATATGTCTCATGGTAGGTGAAGAACACAGCTATTCTGATGACCAAAGATCGTATAAACAAAACAAAGAGACCAAAAACATTTGAATGACATGTGAGGAAAATATTCATCAGTTCAATTACTCCTTCATTCATTTTTTAATACATACATATTGGGCTAAGCACAAAGGGCAATTCAAAGATTGAAATGTCTCTGCCGTCAGTATGCTTATAAAACAGAAGGGATAGAATGTTTTCAACCTTCAGACAGGGCCAAGTGTAGGCCAATAAAAATGTCAGACTAATTAGACGTTACTGTATTCCCTTATTTTACAAATGTTTCTTGGGGCTGGGGATTTAGCTCAGCAGCAGAAGTGCCTGCCTGGCAAGCGCAAGGTCGTGAGTTCAATTCCTGGTACCAGAAGAAAAACAAAACAAAACAAAACAAACAAACAAACCAATGTTTCTTGATCAGTTACTATGCTCCAAACACTGTTGTTCTAGGAGCTGGTTACATAAAATTTTGCCTCTCTTAGATTTTGCTGCCTCTGGCCAAAATAGAAAATAAAGAAAAAACAAACAAACAAATAATATAACTTCAGGTAATCATAAGTGCCACGAAGAAAAATAAAGCAGGTCAGTACAAAGTATAGCAATGGCTGGTGAAAGTGTTTTAGTTCACAAGGTCTCTACGAAAGGGCAACATCTAAGCAGAGTTGGTGATGTATTAAAATCTGAAGGGAGGGCTTTCCATGCAGAGAGACTCACATGGAAAGTTCTTGTAAAAAATGACAAAAAGAGCTGGGAATGGTGGCACACGCTTATAATCCCTGTATTCAGGAGGCTGATGTAGAAAGATTGCTGTGAATCTGAGGCCAGCCTAAACTACATAGCACTACCCTGTTTCAGACCAGCCAACCAACCAACCAACCAACCAACCAGCACAAAAGAAAGGGATCTTACTAGAGTGTGGAAGGAAAGAGTGATGGATCCTGTCACAGAAGTGGGAAGAGACCAGGGCCTACTGTTCTTGCAAGTCAAGAAAAATATTTCCTTCTAAGTGAAGAAAGATTTCAAGCAGGGTCATCTGATTTACATTTAGAAGGGTAGTTGGAAATATTGTGTAGAAGTCTAGTTGTGAGGTTAGGAGGGATATCTGGACAGAGAGTATATGTGCTGAATAGTCCAGGCTAGCCAGGATCCGTAAGAAATGGATTCATGTAGTCAAACCAGGAGGACGTATTGGAATCCACAGCAGTAGTCTTTCTACAAGCGGTGCATTTGGATTAGGATGACAACTGCCAAGGTGTGCGATGTGGTTCTAGTCTAGGTGGAGTTTCTCAGAGCAAGTGGTATGATATTATCAGTGTTGAACTTTAAATAACAGGGAGCACTGTGACAGGGTAAGTCACTCCCTGTGAGCCCCTCTATATCCTGACTCAGGCCCTGTGCTAGGTGCTGGGGATGCAGTGTGTTGAGGGGTTTAGACTTCATTCTGGCCATGAGGTGAAGCTATGGACAAGTGTGCTGAAAGTGAGGAGGAGTCATATTAGCTAAGGGAGTCATATTTTAAACGAAGTTACCAAGATAAAGAGCCAAACAACATGCTCATAGAAATCACTCTGAAAATTAATTCTAAGAACATTTTATTCTTCTCTTCTTAGTGTCGAAGATTACATGATTAAACTCAGTATGTCTGACCACCCCCCTCTTGAATCTCAAAGATGTTAAGTTTCTCTCAGTAGAATCTCAGTTCACTGTCAGTTGGCCAATTTCATCCAATAACTTCCCTAGCAACAGTGGTTAATATTTTTTTCCCACACTGAGAAGGCAAAGGTATAACTTCCCAAGGGTAAAAAAGACGGTATACAACATAGGATAATCTCACTGATCTGGGTGCATCCATTACTGTCCAGCTGTTACTCTGCCTCTAATCTTGCTTCCCCTAACCCTTCCCCAACTGGATGACCCTGCTTCAACTTTCCCTGCTTCTAATTCTTCTTGTAAACTGCCTCCAGAGTTAATCAGCAGAAAGCAGTCCAGTCATGTCCATTCTCCTGTGCCTACAGAATAAATTTCATATTCCTTAGCCTGACACACACTGACCCAGTCTACCTTCTCTGCTTTATCTCTCACTCCATTGCTATATGTTCTGTTTTATTCACGTTAGATTTTCTTCTTAGTTTTTTTGATTATTTTTAAGACTGTGATGGGATACACATAAGTTACCATCTTAGTTAGCATTTTTAGTGTATAGTTCAGTGGTATTAAGTACATTCCCACTGTTATGAAAATCCCATCAAGTGTTTAATTACTAATTATTTCCCTGATGCTTCTAGCAACTTGATGCTTGGACCATACCTGTAATTGTACGGTTGCTACTGGCCTGAAATGCCTTCCCCACTCCTGGTCATTTAAAATCCCATATATTTTGAAAGACAAGTACTAACATCCCACCTCTTCCTTTAGGCTCCTTTAAAATCGTATCCACAAACAGAAGGTCAACTGTGTTGCTAGGTAATATACAGCTTATAGTAAAAATGATGCCTGGTTGGCAAACTGCATCTGTACTGGGAAGAACTATCTAGAACTGTAAATGCATGGTGGGGATGGGACATTTTGGACTTCCCTGGGTGATGACTCTTGTAATTACGCAGGTTCCTTGTAGGGACCCTAGAGACTAGGTCTATGGGGTTGCTATAAGAGATATTGTCTCTTATGCAGCAGGAGGCTTTTAAGCCAGGGGCATTCCTGTATTCATTCAGTATGAACTTAGAGTTCCTGAATCTGAGCTGTACTTGGGAGTTAGGAAGGATATTTACATCTGTGTTAGGACTCTCACAGAAGGGAAATTCTAAAGCTGCATTATTGGTGAGCAATGTTTCCTATATTGCAATCTTCTAGGTCAACAAAAAGACAAGTGAGCCCATAGTAGTCATGCGTGTCTGAATGTGCAGTAGGACTTAATAAGGCCTGCCCTTGTGGGCTGAAATATTGTACTTGCATATTCATACTCCTTGTATGCCTGAACTTAAAACCAAAGGAAGCAACTGTATGTAGGAGCAGGGCAACAAAGCACTGCTTACCTTTGGAAGTAGCTGGATTGCCTGCAGAATTCTCTGTCTGTGCCCAGAATTAAGGATTCCAATTTCCAGCAGATCCTGATCTTCCATAACATTGCTTCCCTGAAACAAAACCAGAAACATTACAGGATAAATCAAACATTTACACTGGAAAAAATAATAACTGACAAATGATCTGGTTGGTATAAACAAAGACACACAGTCATTACTCTATGTGGGTGAGGACAACTGAGTCACCGAGGCCACCGATTTGAAGGCTAGAGGAACTTCCTTCTCACAAATCTTACCATTGATGATTGGATTATGTACACTGAAGATTAATCCCTGTGACTTAGAATTCTGTTCCTCAGGAATTTAAACTCTTCTTGGATAAGTTGTCATTTAAGATTATCTGTAACCTCCACATTGATATGAATAAATCAGCTTTTAAAAAGTAATCTGAAAACAGATTTTGTGAGGTGGGCTGATAGAAGAAAAGAGTGACATGCACTAGGCAGGTTAAAAATCAGGATAATTAATTTTAAAATACTCAATTCCAAACTCCTAATCAAAATGTGGGGAGAATAATGAATAAGATGCAGGTCCCTGCCCATGACTTCCAGACCAGGGACAAATGGATTGTTCAAAGCAGTGAGAATGCTATGAAAGGCTTGGATGGCGAGCTTTGGAAGTCCAGAGGGGACATGAGACGGTTTTTGGAGCAGATGATATCTGAAGTGTGGTCAGGACCCAGAAGTGGAAGGATGAAAGAAATTATGTGCAATAACCTGTAGGAAAAACAGAGCAGTTGGAAGTTTCGTGTTATGGGATAAGTTGGGAGAAGAGAAAAAGTAAGGGTGGAAAGGTAAGCAGAGACTACACTACACAGATACTGGAGGCCATGCTGAAGGGTTTAGACTTCATTCAGACCATGATGTGAAGCCATGGATGGGTTGTAAGAAAAGAGTTATATGATCAGATTCTAAATTTAGAAAGACCATTTTGGTTTCTGTGACCGAGACAGTTTTTTATCTATAGAGTGATGAAGGTGAGCCACACAATCTCCGAGGACTAATCTAGCCCTGAAAGTCTCAGATTTTAATGATTATTTTAAGTCTCTGGTTATTGATCATTCTGTCTCTAAATTTGAGACTTTCAAGTGTGTAAGCTTCAGTTTTTCTTTAAATTGATGACTCGTGAAATAAACTCAGCACAGAAAGACAAGTACTGTATGACCTCAAGCTTGTAAGGAAACTAAAAGAGATGACTGCATAAAAGTAGTAAAGTAGTGGTGACAGGGCTAAGGACAGGGAGAAGGGGAAGTAGAGAGTTTGCGTAGTGGGTACCAGATGCAATTAGATGGAAGAAATTTAATCTAATTTCACAGTTCGGTAACTATAGCCTAAAACAATTCATTATATTTTCTCAAAATAACTAGAAAAGAAGAATTTAGTTTTCTTTAGTGTGTACAGAAAATTTAAGCATTTGACGACACAGAAATGCTGGTTGTCCTGATTTGAACATTATTTGTTGTATGCATATATCAAATTATCATACTTTACCTATAAATAAGTACAAGTATTATATATCAATTTAAAAAATAAAAATACAATATTTCTGAAAATGAGAAGTCTGTAGAAATTTGGGAATTTGGATTGCTATCTGTCTGGACAAGTCAAACTTTCCTATTAATGTGTAAAAAACACTTAGGAATAGAAAAGACAGAACACTTGTTTGTGGAGAACAATAGATTCTGACAGACATTCAAAGGGAAGGAAGATGAACTGGAAAGGGTCATCCTGGGCCCACACAGACCAGAAGGAGTCTGCTAAAGTTCCTCTAGAGATGATGCGGGCTGAGACGAAGGTAGTAGTCCTGGGAGCAGAAAGAAGCAGGTAGATTGAAAAGTATCAAAAGTTTGAGTTGGATACTGAATGTGTTAAATAGTAGGTTAGGGTAGGAGGTGGCCCTGGATGCCCTTTCCTGGAATAAGAAATGTGCAGGGGCAGACCTAGTGCAGTGCAAAGGAAGACTAATGCTTATTCTGGACAGACCAGAATAGATGGATGTAAACAGCTGAATATCAGACCATGTTACAAATGGATAATTGAATGTTCTTATAAAGATTAAAGCCATTAGAATGATTCCAGGGATTTAAAATGGGCATTCACTGGACAAAAGCATTCCACCTACTCATGGTATCATTTGTAAGCTTAAACTCCAGCAGCCATCTTGGAGGAAGCAGAATAAACCAGGTATACAGCAGCACGATAATGAAAAGCCTAATGAAAAACAAATAAAGCCAGTCTTGGCAATATGCCACACTGCTCTCAAGAAATTACTCAGTGCACACAATATAGCATGGCTAAGAATATAAATGACTTCACTTTGAGAAAGCCTTATTATTTCCAGAAATGGACGACAGAGGCTTGAGCAGGATATGTGATACATATTCTGACCTTTACTTTTTCAGGGATTTTTGAAAGGAGTTACTGGCCTTCAATAAAAAAAATATCTGCAGCCATATGCTTACTATAGCATTATCATTTTTCCCATATACGGAATTACCAGCCCACACCTTTAGCTCATGCAAGATGCAGGCCCTGTATGAAGCACACTAGAATCTACAGGTTAGAAAAGCTGCAGTCCACAGGTAATACTGAAATTTGACGCCTGTGCAATGAGATCAAGGTAGACCACTGTTTTTCCTTGAAGCCATCCATTTATTATCTTCCCCTTCCTTAAGAAGGGAGACTTTTTGGAAGACTTGTAGGGAAGTTAGTCATTTTAAAAGAAGGTGTTAAATGTATAACAGTATTTTCTGTTTGGGTCACCTTTCCAAGTATACAGGATAATGACTACTTTTGAAAAATGAGTGAAAAGAATAAGAAGCATAATGCAAAGTGTGAGAATGTATCCAAAGGCAAACGGTGCTAGCTGAGAAATGTACAGAAAAAGAATCACTGTTTCCAATGAGGTGTACAGTTAGAAATTTTTATTTTGCTAATTACTCTGACTTGTTCATCACACAATAGATACACGTGTAGAATCATCACACTACACCCCATGAGTAAGTACAACTATGATGTCCATGAAAAATTAGTAATAAAAAGAAGTTTTCTATTTTTCCCTTTCTCTAATCCATAGGGATAGCCAAATATCCAGGTAAGTCATCTAGCAGGCAAGGGTGTTGGGTCAAAAGACCTGAGTTTGGGTCATGGAAAAGCTGGGTGAGTCATGTATTCTGTCTCGGCTTCTCACCCATAATGTGCATTTAGTTCAAAAAATGGTATGATTTCAGCCATATTTGACTTTCGATTAGTATCATTATATATAAGTATAGATGGTAAATTTTAAATTACATTTTAGTGTTTGAGAGTTTGCAACTTAGTGTGAGGAAATGATTACAGAGAACTTCAAGAACGCATCTTTTTCACAAATTAATCTTGAAATTGTGACAGTAAAATTTCTGCCAAAGGAAATAATAGAATACCTTATTTTTGCAGCATTATAGATTCCTGCAGCTTTTCAGAGAAAAATCCAATGTTTCAAGCCTCATCACCACACCTTTTGTACGTGGGTAACAATTTATGCCATCAAGGACCACAAATGTTCCCATTCTTCCTAGGGAGTTGGAATTCATCCCCCCTTTATCACTTGTCTTTACCAAATGCTACAGAATTGCAGCTTGACTTCTTTATTCCTAATAAAGGCTGAATATAAATCCCAGCTTTCTCCCTCCTCCGACCATTTTCACATGAAAACCACATCACTAGTTTCTGTGCCTGTTTTCTGCTTAACCACCTACTCCCGTGTACTGTCCACCTCCTCACCTCCCGGTACACCTGCTGTCTCTGCTGCTTCACCTTCCATCTACCCCTCCACCACGATAGTAAGCTTTTATCTGCAGCTGACTCCACAGAATGTTGCTACATGTTAAGAATGACCTCTTGATTGCCAAACCTGCTCGATTCTTTTCAATCTTGATTTCAAGTGCTCATTGGCCAGACGTGTCTGGTGGCCACCAAACTGGACCGCACAGATTTAGAACATTTCTCTCATTGTAGAAAGTTCTATGAGTGCTGGTCGACAACTACAGATGTTGAAAACTCTGGCCATATTACGTAGATGGGGCAAAAATGGGGCAGGGAATAAAAAAATACTTGAGTCATTTTCCAGATAGAATTATTCATGTGCTTCTGAGTCAAAGGTTCATGAACATTAAATTTAGGATCTTCAGCAAATTCTGTTTTGAATTTGCAGTCATCAATGCAAATTAGAACATTGTTCTACTTTCATGAGTGTTTCTTTATTATAGCTTTTTATAAATCTATGTTATGAAAATGGCAAGTTCAATTGATAAATTCCTTTCTTAGCACCTTACCAGGCTCATTGCACAAGGTATTTAGAGAATAACAATCACTGATAAAATTGTTTAGTCAGTAACTTACTAGATGATTGAATGCCCTAGGCAATGTTTTTATAAAAGCCCTTCTTTTGCTGACAAGAAATGTTTAATCCAGGAGGTCTTTATTGCTTTCTTAAATCATGGAATGAAGAAAAATTACCTAACATTTCATGCACTAATTGCTAAAGTTTTTCTGACCAATATCTTATTCATGGGATGTTTTCAACTGTCATAAACTCATAAGATGACCAAATAGAATGAAAAGCAGTTTTTGCACTTAATGGTATATTAGAAATAGAACAGTTATTTATTGAAATAATCTCTTAGGAATATCTGTATTAAGGGTCTGTCTCTCAGAACTACAGCTTGAGAGAAGTTCTAGTTTCATAGTGTTAACATTGTATCACACTCACTTAGAAGCTCTTCCCTCACATTACATATTATACAGGATGCTGGGCAACATTTAGGGACCATAGGGACCTGGTTTCTCCTCAATACCAGCCTGAGTTATGTGATGTTATTTATTCTCGCTCTTTATTCAGCCAAGGCTCAAAAGACCAAAAGGACACTGTTGATTGGGAAAAATTGCTTTTGCTCTATAATTAACTCAATTAGATTCTTCTCCACAATCTATGTAGCCATAGTATTTAAAATGGTATAACTGTACGACAGAATGACACCAAGATCTTTCAAATTTACACATGGAAAAAACATA